ACCCTGCACCTTCCACATACATCCTAATCCCCGTCCTGCCATGTGTTGGCCAGACAGTGGACCTTCCTCCCACCTCTCTGTCTAGTGTGCCTTTATAAATGGTTATCTACTTGAGGGGCTCTGCGTGTAACTCTGCTTGCAGGCCCTCAGGTTATTAGCAATTTTCACACCTACCCCTTGTTGTTAGGTGCCAATGAGTCAATTTTCGACTCATAGTGACCCCATGTGACAGAGTAGAACTGCCCCATAGGGTTTTCTAGGCTATAATCCTTATGGGAGCGGATCGACAGGCCTTTTTCCTGTGGAGCCGCTGGGTGGGTTTGAACTGCCAACCCTTTGTTTATCATTCAGTCTTTGCGCCATCAGGGAAACTGAGGTTTGTTGTTGTTGTTCGTTGCTGTTGAGTCAATTTTGACTCATAGTGATCCCATGTGACCCAGTAGAACTGCCTCATAGGCTTTCTTAGGCTGTAATCTTCATGGAAGCAGATCACCACATCTTTCTCCTGTGGAACGGCTGAGATTATGCGAAGCCAAACAAGTCATCAAAGGTCACACAGATAGGGAAAGACATGCCCTGGGTTCAAACCTCGATTTCTCTGACCTATAGCTCCATTCCTTCTCAGGGTGCCCCAGAAAGGCTAACGTACTGGGTTGAAATTCTAGTGAATTTGGAGCCTAGGACAAGCCACAGGGCTGCCTGTTTAGGCCTGCAGGCTGGGACTGAGCAAGCCACTTCCCTCCTCCCTTCCCTTTGCCTTCCGGAACATAGGGAAAATATTTTCTACTTGGCTGTAGAAGATCAGACCTTGGTGTGAAAGTGCTGGAAAGATTACTCTGAAATCCAGGATTTTTCCTCTCTGGGCGGGGCTGTTTATTGGTACTGAAAGGGATGTCCAGGGAATTTAACCCTAAATTTCACTGTCCTGGCAGCACTGCCTTAGGGAGGTTCCTGGCCCTGGCAACCAGATTGAAGAACGCAGGTTTCAGCACCTCCTTCCCTGTTCCTGTCTCCATCCCACTGCGAACCTCCTTGTGCAAGAGCTGGTGACTAGGACTTAGTTTCTTCATCAGCAAAATGGGGCTAACCTTCCCACCCACCAGAGGGTCCCGAGTGGGGTTGAAAGCAGACCTCCATTTTTTAGGTCCCTCATTCAGAAGCCCTTTACCCCCAAACATGGCCCAGGACATACGCTTTTCTCTGTGGAAAAAGAATTTGACTTTATTCAGAAAGTCTATAAGATACAGAAGGCGGATAACTCGCTCACTGTAAGTCAGAAAATAAATAAATTCCAGGGGCCGGGCAATATTCTTTTTAAACTTTTTTATGGTTCTGGTTGCTGCCCGGCTTCCCCTAAATATAAGATAAAATGTGATTTATTTGCAGATATAAAATATAAAGTCCAGCTCAGGGCCACACTGCCACTTTCTCCAGAGAGTGGGCGTTAGGGCCCTGGCTGGGGAGAATAACTTAGACTTGTGCAATAAATAAACACTGGGGAGGGGCAGCTGTATACAGTGTTGGGGGGGCACTGAGATCCCCAGAAAAATGGCAATCAAAGTGGCTGAGCCTCTACTCCACATTGGGCACTCACAGGGCTCCAGAGAGGTGGGCCCTTCCCTTTTAAGGACCTCCCTCCAGTGGTAGGACAATGGAATCTCTGTTCTCATCCCCCCTTGTCACAGTGGTCACCCCTATGGTCCTCCTCCTTTGCTGGCCAGCTCCCTGGCCTTGGGCATCTGGCCCTGCTCTGGGGCACCCTGGCTGCAGGGGAGCCCAGGACCAGCTCCTTCCCACTCTTCTGTCTGTGTCACTTTCTCTCTCCTTCTACTTCTCTCCCATCACTTCTCACCTTTTTCAGTCCCTGTCCACTGTCCCCCTGAAAACCATGGCTAGAATCTTGGGGCAGCAAAGCGAAGACCTGGCTTTTGGTTCCAGCTCAACCGCTAAGTAACATGTGGCCTTGACCACTGTCATGGCCACTGGAGGCCTCAGTTTCCCCATCTGTTAACTGGGCTTCACTAGGTGACTTCTGACTCTTCCTGCTTTGGAAGGTCTGGCACCCACGGGTCCAAGGCAGAGGTGGGGGCTTCTCTTCTGTGCATTTCCCAGCCAGGCAGTCCCATAGCCGGGTACAAGGCCAAACCTAGTCCTAACACTGGGGTGAGGGTGGGGGACAGGGAGGGCACACTGCACAATCTGAACAGTTTCCAAAACGAGGGTAGTCACCTCTCCCCCTGCAGCTCTTCTCTGAGCTGGTTCTGCATCCCACGCCTCCCAAAGTAGGAAGGTTGAACTCTCAGCCAAGGGAGACCTTAGGCCCACACCCTCATCCTCCGTTCTACCAAAGATGCCCCTCCCCAGGGCTATTCGGTCCCAGCTCGCTCCCAGTTCCAGGGACTGCATGAAGAAGCCAGGCCCGGGGAAGGGTTGGTGGCTGCAGAGCAAAGGGACCTGGGACGGATATGGTGCTTAGGCACTTTGGAAGAGAGCGGGGGTGGGGGTCCGGGGTAGGGTGTCGGAGGGGCGTGGTTTGTGGAATGGGACAGCGTCGAGCGGGCG